AGGCCAGCTTGACCTTAAACAAAATTACTGGGTTAAACTTTCTTGTTTTTGAAAGCATCTGCTTTGCATGTTTGTTGCCTTGCTTTGCACGTTGTTGTGAAAAGTTCTGCTTTACACTTTGCCTTCTTTGCATGTAGTGAAGTCTGACACCAGTCTAATTCTCTTGCCCTTTTTAGTTCTTTGATCTTTTTTGTCTGTAGACCCTGAGAGCTTTTATCTTTAGTCTAATATTGTTTCTAGAATGTCTTGGAGGTGATTATTGAAAGTCAATTTTTCTGCTACTCTGAGGGTTTTCAATACGAACTAAAGTCTTCTTTTGAGGAAAGCTTTCTTTGTGTCTTTTTAACAAAAAAAACCTTTCATTTTGAACAAATTTTAGATTTACAGAAGTTACATGAATAGCACAGAGTTCCTATATATTCCTCACTGTGCTTCTCCTAAAGTTAACAACTCATATAACCATAGTAAAATTGTCAAAATCAGCAATTGACATTAATTTACTATTAACTAAACTCCAGACCTTATTTGAATTTCACCAGTTTTTTCACTACTGTCCACTTTTGCCGTCAAGGTCTTGTCCAAGAGTCCACGTTACATTTAGTTATTTATTCTTAGGCTCCTCCACTCTGTAACAATTCTTCAGGTTTTCCTCATTTTTAACTTTGACATTTTTTAAGAGTACTGTTATTTTGTAGAATGTCCTTCAGTTGGGCTTGTCTGATGTTGTCATATGATTGGAATTAAGTTATGTACTTTTTGCAGTTTTATTATAGGAATAATGTACATTTCTCAGTAAATCATATTAAGGGATTTATGAAATGAATATGCTTTATTGGTGATATTAACTTTCATCACTTGGTTAAAGTGGTGTTTACCAGGTTTCTCTACTGTAAACTTATCTTTCCCTTTGTAGTTGATAAATATCTTGGGGACACACTTTGAGGCTATGGAAATAGTTTCTTCTTCAACTTTGCCCACTCATTTGGTTTTTTAAGTTTTCTTCAGTAAGATGGCCCCAAAGGCGCTCCACCTCCAGGGCCTTACGCTCTTATATAAACCCCTCCCATGTTGTACCAGGTTGGTATGTGTGGCAGAAGTGGTCATATGCCACCTCCAAGATTAGGTTATAAAAGACACTGGGGCTTTCATTTGGGGTTTTTTGTGTGTGTTCTCTCTCTCCTTCTCCCTCTTGGATCACACGTTCTGCAGAAAGTCAGCTGCTGTGTTGTTAGCAGCCCTGTTGAGAGGTCCACAGGGCAAAAAGCTGAAGTTTCTAGCCAACAGCCACATGAGTGAATTCAGAAGCAGATCCTCTAGCCCTGGTCACGTCTCAAATGATACTGTCCTGGCTGACACCTTAACTAAGCAGCCTTGTAAGAGACTGAGCCAGAATTATTCAGCTAAGCTCCCCCTGGCTTCCTGAACCATAGAAACTGAAATGAATAATATTTCACTGCATTCATTTTAGGGTAATTTGTTATACAGGAATAGATAACTAATACAGTCTGAATCACTTAATTTGCCATTACTAGAAGCCATACGTCTATGGATGCTTTTGCCTTACAATGGCAGAGTTGAATATTGTGACAGAAACCACCTGGCCCTTCACAGAAAATGTTTGCTGACCTTGCTTTAAACTGAGGCTATACAGATCATTTTAATATTGCATTCTGATCATTCACTGCACTAATCTCTTACAATGACTTCCTGTTGCCTTTAGCATAAAGATCAAAACCCATAAGATGGCTCAAGAGGCCATGATCTGATCGGTGCCCATTGTTCCTGCATCATCTCCCGTCACAGACCCCACTCACTCCCTCTGCTTTCAATGCTTCAACAGTGCTGCACTCCTTTCAGGTTTGTTTGTTTGTTTGGGGTAACATTGGTTAATAACATTATATAATTTTCAGGTGTATAATATTGTAATCCAACATCTGTGTACTCTATTGCGTGCTCCCCACCTGGTCAACTTTCCTTCTGTACCATCTATTTGACCCCCTTGACCCACTTCACACTCCCCCACCCTCTTTCCCTTCTGGTAACCACCATTCTATTGTCTGGATGAGTTTGTTTTTGTTTTGTTTACTTTTTGTTTTATACTCCACGTCAGTGAAATCATAACGTTTTTGTCCATTTTTCATCTGACTTATTTCCTTTAGCATAATACTCTCACGGTCGTTGCTTGAGTGCACCCCGCCCAGCCTATTTCAGAGCCTGCATGCTGCACCCTTTAGAACGCCTCCCCCTATTCCCTCATTCACTTAGCTCGCTGTTACCCTTTCTTCAGGTCTCAGCTTAAACATCCCTTACTCTATGTAGCCTTCTGTGAACTCTCCAAACTAAATGAGTCCGTTGTTTCCCAGAGCCCTCGGCCTAATTTGCTGATGACATCCATTTACTTGTCATTACATACTTAGTACTGTTTTCCACGCGACTGTAGGCAGATACTAACCCTTTCTGTCTTGTTCAATGTGGTATCCCAGCATTTAGCTTAGAATCTCACACGTAGCAGGCACCTAATAAATATTCCTTGCTCTCCCTTACCCCACTGAATTCCGTCAACTCTCTTCTGATACTGTCCCCTTCTTTATGTCTCTACAAGTCCCCTAATTGAGTCAACTATTATGTTGTATCTGGGTTCTTTCAATAGATACCAAGCAGGTCTTCTCACTCTGGATTTTTCTCCACGGTGCAGTGGGACTGACTTTTCTAAGAGAGCTTCCCATTGCTCGCTAAAGAAAGTTTAAAACCCTTTGTAATTTAGATTTCACTTGTCTCTCAAGAGCACCTGTTACAGTCAGAATGATTCCCTTTCACATCTTTAACAAGTTCTCTCTCAACTCTTTGAGTCTTTGCAAATGGTATTCCCTTCACCAACCTGAAACATTGTTCCCCACACCTCATTTCACACAGGTTATCTCCTAAACAGTATTTGGGCATCATCTTAGCCATCTCTACCTCCCGAAAGCCTCCTCATACGAGTCTGGTTTAGAGGTCCCTGCTACTGTACACCATACTGCATTCCTCCCATCACCCCCCCCACACACACACACCATCTGTTGCATGAATCACACAAGTTATATGAGAGAAGGGACTATCTGGCTTCTTTTCCATAGTATTTCCAATATTTAGCACAGCACCTGGTGCATTGGAGCCTAATAAATATTTACTGAATAAATGAATTTAAATGCTTCAAACTAAAGCAAATTTTCATTAATTTCCAAAGAAAACTTGGAAAGCTCACATTAAATCTTATTATGACTTCCAATCCTAGGCCCCTCAATTTATTTAGCATGGACCCCACATTCATGTCAACCAGTACTCCTAAATCTCTTACTGCCTTACATTATACCCATCACTTAAGTCCACAAGTCATGAATTAATTTAGTAGTCTAATTTCTATCCTTTAGGTCCTCGACTGCTAATCTCAGGGACTTCACAGTCACAGAACCTTTCTAATTGGCTTCATTAAAATGTTATGGCTTCAGGGTTATCACTTTGTGAGGGGTGTATATGTCTAACTATTACATTGTCTTGTACACCTGAAACTAATAAAAGAAAGAAAGAGAGGGAGAGGAAGAAGGAGAGGGACAAAGTGAAATTTATGGCTTCTAACTGCATTGGGTTATCAATACAACTTGTGCAGTGCTTCTCCTTATTTCTAGCCTGTTTCCTCATAGCATATGTCAACCTCTACCACTTAGCTCAAACCCCCAGAATATACTAGGCCTGCTCTCAACAGATGCTCCTGCTCCTCTGTCACCGAGGTAAGAGGGAATCAGATACGAATCCTTTCTTTGCTCTAAACTTTCTTTTCTTTCTCTTGTCCCTTTTCCTTCCCCTTGAGCTGAAGTATTTATCTGCGCTCCTGAACCTACTTCTTCTGGCCTGCTTATGGGCTGTTGCATCAATTTTGGTATTGCCACATCTCACATTAATTTAACTCACATAAAAACAGCTCTACATAAGGTCTCATTATGCCTTTCCATTGTGTTGCATCAGCTGGAGTTACATTCACTCCAGGACTAGTCGATTACTGTACACCAGGATGGTATAGCTCTTCCACACTTGATATGCTTCATTAGAGAAGTGATCATGTTGCCATCCTTCTGCTCATCCCTGATGAACTAAGCAGCGCTTGATATCACCCAGCCAGACCACAAAGTCAAAGAAAAGATCTGTGTGCTGTGAATGGGACTGAGGAAGTAACACGTCTTCTGCCCTCTCACTATCAAGTGTCAGGCATAACCATCAGGAAATGTATCTTGTCTTGGTGATTTGACACAAGTGATTAAAATCATGTTACATCACGTAGGGTTTTGTTGCTGTACAACATGACCTCAAAGATAAGCCAACATCAGGAACTTGAGGGTTTGCAATTATAATCCTGGAGATGGTACAGAGACTCTTGGGCCACATCTCCTCTCACACTGTTATATCCTCCCAGCCTTCAGTGCTTTTAGTCAGCATCTTTTCTAAGTCACAGAAATCAATAAATTTCAAAATACATAAAACAGAAAGAAAGGTTTGTGAACACAAAAGGATTCCTAACTGATAACTGGCTAGTGAGCTACAGGGTGGAGGAGTAAGGGTAAGGACTGTGAATTCAAACAAGACCACAGACCATTCAAAAGAAACATGGTCATAAAGCACTTTCAATTTCTCAAGTTTAGCTAGGACTTCTCAGAAAGCAGCAAGGACCATAGCAGTGTTCCTCAGATCTGAATACCCATTCTCTTTTCCTTGCCCCCTTCCAAAACCACATATAGTTAGCAAAAGCTTTACATTAATTATGAGACAAGGAGAGAAGACATAAGAACTAGCTTTGAAAATAAAAAGGAAAAAGAAAAGCAAACCCTTTATACTTAACTCCACCTTAAAGCAACTATTAGTTATGCTTTCATCTTTTCAGCTATGCTCACTTACCTATATTATTGTCAGTGTCTTTGGGGAAAAAAAACAATGTAAGCATTAATTTTAAGGATCTTTCACAAACCAAATGACAGTAGGTTTTTATTAACATATCTTACAATGTTGATTATTCCTAGTTTTATAATTTCTGCTTAATTATAAAGATTGATTTAGCTTCTACAGTAATGTACTGTATTTAAATGATCACTCATACAAGATAGCACACCAGTACATTTTTTTGAATAATATACACACATCACTCTAACTTGGACCTGTTATTTTTAAAAGTGGGTTTATAAATGGGACTTATAAAAGTTATAGGGGAAAAAATTAAAGTTCTAGTTTAGCAGCATGCATGTATGTATTCAAGTACGATTTTCAACCAAGTGCTTTTTTAAAACTTACTGGTGACTAATTCACCAATATCAAAATAAACATTATCAAACCCAAATTTTAATGTTAAGGCTAATATTTTCACTTCACATCCATATGCACAACCATAAAACATTCCATTTTAAATATGTAGTAATCAAAGTCTGAATACATTATACCATGTATATATAGCATAAGAGTTTCAAACTGTAGAATTATTCAAGTTCATGAATCCTGAAACAGTATTTACGAGAGATGTAAATTAGCATTTTGCTCTTCAACCACACTTACAAATGGTCTGGTATTCATAATGACTGATGCAAAAAGTATGACAGGCTGAACTTATGATACATTATTTTAAAAAGTAGCAATGTGTTGGAAAGGACAGCTATTTAGTTAAACAGAAATCATTCTAGTCTTTCAGAAAGTTATCTTAATATTTTGGAAATGTATATAAAAATAGCAAGCTATTTCCACATATTTTATTGTAGAGTTATAGGTAATTTTTTGACGTTTTCAACACATTTGAATATGTACTGTTCTGCTCTCTCTATTTTAATGCAAGGCCATCATTTAACATCCATTTGCATATTCTGTAATGTCATGACATTCAATAATTTTTAGAATGTATATGACTTTTTTTTACATCATTAGATTTTTTTTTAGTTTATTTTTACATGTAAAAATGTAATTTTATACAAGCCATGTATGTCCAAAGTACCAGGAATTGCTTGATAGCACTATGTATGAAATTATCATCAAATTAATTATTTGGAAGAAAAATCTTAGTAGCACTATATAACATGCTTTTCTGTAATCTTCCTTCTCTACTAACAGAGTGGGCTTTAGCTCAATCATTCCCATTCTTGCTGATTCAAAAACCATACCAACATAAACTGCTTTTCACAGCAGCTTCTAAGAAGGATGCAGATGCACGGCTCATTCATGAGGGTCATCATCACTGAGCCTTTTTTCCCCCCCTTTTAGGAAACCAAGGAGAAATAGCAGTGATTACATTGCACAAATACAATATAGCTGAACCTCTTGAGCTGATAGGAAAGTTCCAAAATTATGCTTCATTTGTGGGGAAGTCGGAGCAATTTTAATCCAGTCGTTTAAACAAAAACTTGGTAATAAATGGTGGGCATGAGCAGAATTGAAATCTGCCATGTGTATGCTCTTAAAACTTGTGATTTTATAGTAAAATCTATTTGTTACTATTTCTAGTAATTTATCCAACTGAAATGGCAAACTTTGATTTTTAAGGGCTCCCCTGCAACCACACGTCTCCCAAAATGTACTGTATTATATTAACAGCAGCTATCTACTTATTTTACAACTATTTCAATTATTTACCTGGGGAGAATATTTATGAAATTCCTGAGAATGAATTAAGTTTTCAGCAAAGCCTTAAACTTTTAACAGATTCCTCACAATAAGAAAAAATTTTAAAGTTCTACTATTAGACCAACTTTTACTATACAATATTTCACATAAATCATGTTTTACATTTTTTTCTAATTACATACAGCAAAAATCTCAAATCAACACAAGGATGGCAGAGGGAAGAGATGCATTATGTTTAGCAGATGCAAATTAAAACACAGAGATATAGAGAAGCAGTAAAACTTTAAATAAATCACACCCACTCTAAGTATCAATGAATAACTGATATGCATTGCTGGGAGAATCAGTTTTAAATAATTTTGTCAAGTTGTGCTTATTAATTGTAGATTTTTTTTTAAATATCACTAAAGAATGATACAATTTGTTACTTGTTATGTTCTCCAGATATTTAAAAAAAAATTATTATACCATTAATGTGATTACCAAGCACCTAATTTTGGAAAGGCTTTACAACATATGTTTTCTTTTTTTCCCTCAGCAAAAGCGTTATTCCCCCAAATTAATTTAAAGCTTATTGTTGATAAATTCTTAATGAAAACGATGATATAATGCAATGCTGAGTTGGTGAGTCACAGCCCATTGTAATGTGGACCCCATCTTTTATTGATGTGATCAAAAGTATGAGAAATCCACTGTTGTTCAAGAACTTTGTATCTTTCCTTACAAATGTAGAGAGGCTTGCCTCGCCTAGAATAAAAAGGAGGGAAAAAAGTATTAAAAAGGAATAAAATACAATGAAGATTTCACACACGTTTTTTAAATAGATTCTTCAGGGCAAAAATGTCACATAGTAATTTGGTTTATTTCATGTTCCCTTAGCATGTTGATGAGGAAAATATTTCAAAAACTAGAAATAGCTCTAAATTAATGACAGAATTTCTTAATATAAAAAATTGTTATCATTACAAAGCCAGAAATGGCATATTGTTCTTACTGACCATACTTCAATAAACACCCGGATACACGCATGCACTTCTAACCTAAGATCCCGGTCTTCCTCTCCATGAGCGTCCAAATACACAGAACCCCAGAGGCAGAACCGGTGGCCTCGAATGATGATAATCACCGATGCATTGATCAAAAGAAAAATCCCTGTTCCAGCTCCACAGTTCTGAGAATGCTAAAAAATTCAAAATATAGCAATTAATTTCATAATCAAATGGACTTTATAAGAATCAAGAATCCCTTAAGTTTCTTCAAATAAAACAGAAATATTTTTTTAAATTTTAATAAGATTTCATCTACGTTAAATTTTCAATCTCATTTCTAACACTTTATTAATAATAAATTAGGGGGAATTTGAGTAAGGATTATCTAGAGAAGCAATTAAAAGCCAACCTAAACCTAATTCAGAGGCATCTACAATAGCATATATGACTATTGTTTCATAGCACAACATTTTAAAAAGTATGTACCATTAAAAAGCAATAGGAGTAGGGAAAGGAAGTCAGTTCTCCTTAAGAAAGGTTTTACTCAGTCTCAGGTGTTTGTTGGTTGTTTTGTTTTGATTTGTTTTTTTTACCCTTCTACTGGATTAAAAAGAAAAAAAATAACAAAAAAGTTAGAACAACAAAAGAACTAAATGCTTATATGTATTGTTTGTTTTATTCAAAGAGTAGTAAAACCTGAAGTGCTGGCTTGACCGTGTGCGTGTGCGTGTGTGTGTGTGTGTGTGTGTGTGTGTGTGTGTGTGTGTGTTTGTGTGTGAGATTTCCATGTGACATGGGATCTGAGTTTTCATAAACTTTATACTATGTACTAATGCTTACCAGCACACATTCACAGTAGCTTTGTTGCTTGCAGCAAAGTCCTTTCAGGCATACAAAAGTACCACAAACAAGGCAAACGGCCGGATCTTTAGGAACCTTGGTGCAGACACTACAAGTTTTTCTGTGGTAGTACTGAAAAATGGTGTTGTAATTCTCAGGCAACTGTAGTAGGTGTGGTAATTTCCATCTTGATTCTTGAATAAGCAAGGCCTAAAACATTATCCGAAAACATTCATTAGTCCTATGTATGTAAGTCACTAAGAAAAAATACTTATTTTTTAAAAGGGCTTTCTTTTAAAGAACGGAAAATTTGTCTCCAAAAATGTGGCTTATTTGCTTAAATGCAAACTTTTAAACAGTTACATATTTTTAAAAACCAAGTTTTTACCTTTCTCAGGTAAACAATTCACTGGTTTTTTCTTTAGGGAAGGTCATAGTTTTAACTCATTTCTATTTCAGTGCTTTATAACCTAGAGTCTCCTTCCTAGAAGATGTAAAATCATCCTACACCTCAAGCTAAGATCTTTTGCATCCACAAGTGCTAGGGCTACAACACTTTATAAATTTTCTGCTTAAGTATGAAAAAAATGCCAAATCAGCTCAATTTCCCTGTAGGGTATACTTTATTGATTATTTTCAGGTATATAAAAATATTGGTAATAGCATTAATTTTTTTCTAGGTGCTACTCCATTAACAATTAAATAAAATGTATTATGAATCTATTATCTTAAGGAACTGTGGTTGTAGGAGGGATGGTTACATCATTTTGAACAGAGAAAGAAGTGAAACTATGAATGAGAAGAAGGATATCTATGTGCCGGGCAAGTAGGATGTGAAGGGAGTAGGCCACCAGTGTTTTTTCTTTTCCATTTGTCTGGCATCCTTATCTGCCTTCTTATATTAACAGCATTATAAGTCCTCTTGAAAAATAACTTCTTTTCCTGCTCCATACAGGTCTGATGGGGTTGCCCCATCACAAGATCCTGCCCCATCACAGGGGTGTATATATGATGCAAATTAGGCCAGATTCTCTCTCCTAGGGGTGTGAATATTGAGTGCACCATGGAGGGAAGCGGGGTACGCAGAGTCTTCCAGTGGTAGCACTTCAGAGAAAACAGAACGGAGCTTTGCAACCAAAGAATCTTAGCTGATACAAAACATGTGAAGTACTAATTCAGACTCTTTCAAGTTCACTGCTGTAGGACTATTTGGCTCCATTCACTGTTTATCTTGCTAAGTCTCTACATTCAAATCTAAAATCCCTGGTAAAGAAAATCTGGTTGACCTAGGATCTGAGTCAGGGTTAGAGATGGACCAGAGTGAATAGGGGGAGTAAGGGTGCAAGTCAGATGGTGATGCATTCAAATAACTGGTAAAAATTCTGCATATGTAGAAATACATGAATAAATGTCTACTGTTCTGACACTAAAACAAGTAATTATCACTCAATCTTACAAAAAGATGAAATATTTTTAAATAAATTCTTATTTTCCATCAATATCCACACCAATAACCATTCATCTAACATGTATGTTTGCTCTTATACTATCAAATAAGTTCATTTTTATCTATTGTTTTACCCAGGGCTCGTATGAAGACAAAAAAATTTAAGTATGCTCATCACTTTTTCTCCTGTCCTGGTTCTACAGTTATATACATCTCTTACTCCAAATCATTTCTCATAGGTTTCGGACATCAAAATATAACTTCAGATTCTAGCTATAATTTGTGAATACAGAAATTACTAAACAGGAAAAAGATTTTTTATACATAATTTAAAAGGTTCAATTAACTTCTTAATATTCCCTTTCCTTTGGAAAAAAAAGGTATCAAATGAGGTATTATCTCTTTAAGGATTTCAACATAAAATAGGAATGAACAAAAGCAGAGACATTTATTATTTATACTTACCTTGCCTTTACTAGTCACTTCAGTGTTTTAAAAATTAAGTCTAGCCTGATTCATCCATAGGAAATACCAATTTTTATTGTCCCTTTGATGTCAAAATTAAAATGCTCATTTTCCCTAAAACTTGGCTCCCCTTTCATCAATTCTATTTCTGCCAATGACATCATCCTACCACCTAATTGTTCCACAAATATTGGTTAGGTGACTAATCTGTATCAGTCACTTTATAGGAACTAGGGATTCAAGGATAAATAATAAATAATCTTTGCTTTGTGGAGCTACAATTCAGACACAATAAACAAGGTGAAACATACGGTGACTGTAAGAGACAGTGGCAACAGAACTGTTGTACGGCACGACAGAGGGAGGGGGTTAGGGCTGTAGAGGAAGATGGGCTATCAGACAAAGCTTTATAGAAGAGGTAACATTTATCTTTGCAAAGCTTTGATGAGTGATTAATTCAAAAGGAGAAAGGTAGGAAGGTTGCTTTAGATAAAAGTAACAGCAATACGCAATAGCACAGATGTTTGTAAATATATTGCACACTTAAGAAATATTCTTTTGTGGTTTGAGCAAGATGGTGGGCAGGGGAGTGGTACAGAATGAGTTAGAAAGCTAAGCAAGATGGTGAAAATCCTTGAATGCCATGCAAGGAGTCCCTATCCTCCTCCATAGGCAATGGGCATCATTAATGGTGTTTAAACAGGAACAGGCTCCTATCAGAACTATGTGTACTAGCTACTATTCTTCTAATGATTTGATTCAAGGTCTTAAAGTCATGTATATCTGGTCACCAAGTCCTGTATATTTTTCTCAAATGTCTCTTGCATTGGTTACATTCTAATTTCTACTATTAGAACAAAAGTCCAGATTTTATCCACCACATAAACAATAATATCTGGCTTCCCTCTCTCCTTACTTCAATTTATCTACTAAAAAGCCACCAGGTTACATCTATAAAACACTACTTTCTTCATTTTATCCATTTTTCAAAAACTATAGTTCTAGCTATAGAAGAAAGTCTAATCACCAAACCACGGCATTCAGAGCCTCCCACCACTGCCCCATTCTACCTTTCCAATTCACTCAACTCCAACACAAGACCTTTTACCAGCCAAGCTGGCAGCACTGGCCCCACAAATTTTAAAGTTAAAGACATGACCTTTCAGATGTGCTAATCCAAAGCTTTGACTGTTATTGGACAGTTCTCTTTCTAATAAATAAACTTACAAATTCTTTGTCTCCCTTAAAATTCCTTTGTCTCTGCCAAGTCTAATGCTCCGATTATTTAAGATATTCAATAAAAAACCCGACAACCTAACACAAACTAAGAGTGACATACTAAGACCTTAGTTTTGTTGACTGAAATATTTATGCTTTTACACTCATAAATGAGTATTATATAAGTAAACCATTTTAAAAATATAATTAGTTTAATAAATGCTACTAAGAACAATGACCTGAAATTTTAAATTCTCCATTATCTTACCTATTAATATATCACCACTATGGTCAGTGAGTGTATTCTTTTTACATACCTTTCCTTGTTCTGCGTGTCTTTCAGTAAATGAATTTATCTCAGAACACCACTGAGATATAATATCAAATGCTGGAACCGGCCAATCCAGGCAGGAGGCACTGATGAATGGATGTTCTGTTTGGTAAAATGTTGGCAGAAGTCCCAGGCAGCTGGAAAGAACTGAAAATTCTTCTTCTTCCTTTTAGACACAAAAGAGAAAATTCTCAAGACATTGCATCAAGAACATTTCCCATTATAGATATTTTATGTGTCATCCTCATTAATTACTTTTGAATAGTAAGAAAACTTAAACTGAGTCAACTAAAGACAAGTAAAGGGAGTAGGAGGAGCAAAGAAGAGAGACAAAAGTTCCTAGCTGTAAGCAGCCCCATAACATTTCTCTTCGAAAGTTAACTCCTCAGTACCATAGCATCTGCTTCTTTTACACATTTATTTTTAAAATTGGGTTGCCACATATCTGATGAATACAGTCTATAGATCCTAGCTACTCTGTGAAAGCAAATGTTAATTTGGGGCCAAGGGAAAGCGACTTTTGGTTATAAAGACATAGGCTGTCAGTGAGGATGAAGAAGAACAATAGTAGAAGCAAGGAATTCACAGGGGCAGTGCTAAATTGCTTGGATCCTGAATGAGTGTGAAACAAAGTCAGTTTTAAAAGGTGGGTGGAGTTTAGAAAACAAACAAACAAACAAACAAAAACTTTAGAGATCTAAGTGCCAGGCAATCAGAATCTCTATTCAGTAATAACAGAACCAGAGAAATCAGTCATCCAAGGACTCACATCCCGAACGTTGATTTTTAAGGTGCGTTTTTAGTCTTACAAACACCAAAATATACTCCTCAATCCCTCTTTATTTAACTAAAAAAACCATTGAGGAGAGTAGTGTGTCTACTTTCCCCGGTTCACTGGATCAATTACCATCAACCTACAAATTCCAGCTCCCCAGGGAAGCCTCCCCTGACCCCACTTAATGAGACACACTACCCAGCTCCATTCAGATAAAATTAATCCTTCCATACCTTGTAAACACTTCTGTTCTTGGATATTTTCTATTAGTTACTTTAAAAATAAATAAGCTATTCCTATAGGACTGTGGGAGTAATCCCTGGAAGCAGGAGTCTGTCCTCCCAGTGCTTGGCACAATACTAGACATTCAACAAACATCTGTTTGCAAAACTGAACTAATTATGTAGATTAAGTACAAAATTCTGAAATATGCTAAAAAAGATGAAAAAGCAAATTGATGTGCAGGCTAAAAAATATGTGAATTTTTAAAATCTCTAAAAATGAGGCCACAAATCTCCTATTTACATAGCTATGCAAAGAAAGCATTAAAAAAAACACACCATTTTATTTCGGTATACTTTACATAACCATAAAATGCACCAGCCTTAAGTGAATTTTGGTAAATGTATAATCATGCAACCACTGCTACAATAAAATTTTAGAACAATTCCAATTCCATTCCACCGAAAAATCCCTTTGTGCCCCTATGCAATAGATTCCATCCCCTTATCCTGGCCCCAGGCAATCACTGATGTGCTTTTTGACATCATAGTTTTGATTTTTTTTTTTAATTTCATATAAGTGGTACCACACAGTATATAGTCTTTTATGCCTGGCCTTTTTCACGTAGCAGTAGTATTCTGAGATTCATTCATCTTATAGCATGTATCAGTAGCCCATTCCTTTTCATTATTGAATCCACTACATGGTAATATCACATTTTGTTCATGCATCCACTTGCTGACAGATTTCTGGGTTGTTTCCAGTTTGTGACTGCTACAAATTAGGCTGTTATGAACACTCATTTTTAAGTCTTTATTTGGAACATAATCTTTCATTTCTTTTGGTAGATACCTAGGAGTAGGATTGTGTTGTACAGTAAGTGTATGCTTAATTTTTTAAAGAAACTGCCAAACTTTTCCAAATTTGACTATCCCATTATGCATTCCCACCTTCAATGGATGGAAGTCTGATACTCCAACTCCTCACAAACACTTGTGACATAAATTTGTATTCCTCTAATGAACAATGATGTCGAACACCTTTTCATATACTTTTTTGTCATTCATACATATTTCTTATGAAAAGCGTTTGTTCATATTTTTTGTCCACTTTGTGTTTTTTATTTTCTTATTATTCAGTTATAAGAGTTCTTGACATATTCTGGATACAAGTCCTTTCTCAATATGTATTTTTTAATTGAGATAGAATTCATATATCATAAAATTCACTTTTTAAAATATATAATTCAGTGGGGTTTGGTATACTTACAAAATTGTGCAACTATCACCACTATCTAAATCCAGAATATTTTCATCACCCTATTATAAATGGAATTATTTTCTTAATTTCATTTTCAGATTGCTCATTGTCAGTGCACAGAAATACAACTGATTTTTTTGTACATTTATCATGTATTCTACAACCTTGCTGACCTGGTTTATTAGCTCTAATAGTTTTTTTTTAGAGATTCCTTACAACTTTCCACATACAAAATCATCTAATTTGCAAACAGAGGTTGTTTTACCTTTTCCTTTTCAATCCAGATGACTTTTATTTATCTTTTTTACCTAACTGCTCTTTCTTGAACCTCCAATACAATGCTGAAAAGAAGTGATGAGGGCAGACCTCCTTGTCTTGTTTCTGATCTAAGGAGTCAAGCTTTCTTTAACTATTAAGTATGATGTTAGCTATAGGTTTTTCATAAATGCCCTTTATCAGAACTCTCTATTCTGTTCTTTTCTGAAGAATATTCCATTGTATGAATAGACTACAATTTATTTAACCAGTTTCCACTGATGGACAACTTGAGATATTTTCAATTTTTTGCTATTTTTGTATGTCTATTCAGGTATCAATAAATCAATCTCCCTATTATTATACTACAAGAGACATCTATAAGTGGAGCATTCATAGCTATACGGAGATCAAAGAGACTATGATATGCAACATTGTAGTGTTTTTTACAGACTTAACATTGAAGAAAATTACCAGCACTCTTCCAAAAATGTTTTGGGTAGCAAGCAGCAGCATAGCTCAGATGTTAGTAGTGCAGATTTGGCATGCAGACTAAATGCATTCAAAACCGGACTGCTTTACTTACTAGCTGTGAATCTTGAGCAAATTATTCATCTCTCTGTGCCTCTTTCCTTGTCTGTAAAGTGAGGCTTATAACAGCTACCACACAGTTGTTGTGAAGCTTAACTGAATTTACACAAAAAGCACTTAAAACAGTGCTTAGCATATAGTCAGTGTACCATAACTGCTACCTATAATTATTATTATCCATAGGAAAACTAATTTTGACAGATAGAAGAATGAAAAAAATAATTAAAGGACATATATTAGAGCAGTGTTTTTTTCAACTTTGGGGAATGGGGTTGGATAACATGGTCCCCTGTAAGAATCTAATAACTATTTTCTTCCAAGAAAAATACACATACACAAACATTTTACAAACAATGCTATGGAATTCAAAAATTACCTTAAGTCCCTCTGTTAAGAATTCCAGAGTTAGAAGATAAATAAGAGAGAAGGCATTTAAGTAGAAGAAAAGACAACCATATAGGTTACTTCAATTAGCCCTAATATGGTAGTAGAAATAGTGTTAGACTAAGACATTTAACTAAATGAGGAAGGTCTAATAGATTATTACTGTGGAAAGCAGGCTTGCTGTTGTCAGAACATATACTAGGTACTATTCTTAATTATTTCCCAAGCTTAAAATGTTTGATTAAAAAATGTACTGTTAAACTCAAGAGTCTCCCGGCTATTAGAAATAATCACTGAATTTATTAACAAGGTAGCCACTAGCTAAATGTAGAAGGTTAATATTCAAAATTCCTATTGAATTTCTACATTTCAGCAATATATTAAAAATGTAATTTTTAAATGATTCCAGTTACAATAAAAACAAACAAAAGACATGCATAGGAAACTTAGAAGTATTCTCTTTGGGATAGGGAATAAAAAAAGAATGCTGACTATTGCTTCCACTGCTCAAAATAATGCTGAGCATGCATTAAGACAGCAACAGAGTAATAAAGATTTGAAGGGAAGAAACAATATTGTCATTTTCGAATGATATAATCATAATTACATAGAACACCTAAAAGAATCAATGGGCAAACTATTAGAATAAGAGTGTTCTGCAAGTGGCCAATCACAAGAATTAACACAAGTCAGTAGTATTATTCTATACCAGCAAAGAGTAATCCGAGCATGTTATAGAAAATAAGATAATTTAAAGAGAAACTAAAATTATAAAGCCTATAGGATTAGCTTTATAAAGAATGCTCCAGACTTTAAGATGACAATTAAAAAATTCTATGAAAAGCAGTGAAAGAAAACCTGAATAAATGGACATATAAACTATGTTCAATGCTTTAAAACTATAAATTCAAAGCAGTTTTCATCAAGCATTTTGTAGAATTTAGAAAGAGAATTTACAAATTGATAATAAAAACCCATATATAGCTAACTGAAAAAAATTAGAAAGAAAGAATTTAACACAAAAAATAGTTAAAAAAAAAAAAGAAGGGACAGTCACCCTACCAGATATGTCTATAACAAAATCATAGTATTTAAAAGTCTGTTACTAGTATGAGAGCAAATGGCTCAATAGTATATACAATAAAGAATCCAGAAACATAGAAACCTGTTAGCATCAAAAAGCAGTAAGAAAAAGTTACTTTATAAATAGATTATTTTGTAAATAGTGTCAGGAAAACTGTCTCATCAAATGATGAAAAAATTAGATTTTTACTTCATACCTTATTTACAAAATAAATTCTAGATTAAATGATAAATCTAAATGTAAAGATAAAACTATAAAAATAATAGGGGAAAATACAAAATAACTTTATAATCTGATGGGAGAAGGATTTTTAAAATAAGATTCGAAAAGCATAAGTTATAAAGAAAAAAGCGATAGGTCTGACAGCATTAAAATTAAATATTTCTGGGCCAGCTGAGTGGCTCAGTCGGTTAAGAGCTTGCACAAGAGTTTGAGCTCCGAGCAACAGCGGTTCGAGTCCCGGCCCGAGCTGAGCAGCCGCTGAGCTGCCAACAAGTGGCAGGATTGGCTCAGCTAAAAAAAATAAATAAATAATTAAATATTTCTGTTCCACAAAGGGTAATACAGTCAAACACACGTCTGAGAAAAGATATCTGCCATGAGTAAAACTGACAAAACAGCAGCAAGATAATAACAAAAAACCCATTTTAAAAAAATGGTCAAAGAATAAGAATAGGAAATATACAGAGGAAAACTTAAATGGCTAATAAGTAAACAGATAATCAATTGCATTTATAATTAGAAATGCAAATCAAATTAACCATAAGTATGTACTTTGTACCCATATGACTGGCAAATATTAGAACACTGGATAATAAGAAGTGCTGGCAAGTACAGGGTGGAAAACAAGAACCCTCATGCAGTGTCAGCGGGATGTGAACCCTGAGTAGCCATTTCAGAAAGCAACTGGGAAGAATGTATCCTATGGACCCAGCAATGCCATAACTAGGTATAATACTCAGAGAAACTTTAAAGTACACAAGACATTAGGTTCATTGCAGCAGATTATTTTTTCCATGGTAGCAAAGATTTGGAGGCAGCCTAGATGTTCATCAGTGAGGGGTAAGTAAAATGTGGAATATATGTATACTGGAATACCACTATGCAGCAATAAGAAAGGATCATTTAGAGCTACATGATTAGGTCTAAATGGTCTAATATTTAGTAGGAAAAAAAGTAACAAAGATACAAGATTTATAGCACAATACCAGTTATGCAAATTAAACAGACATGAAACAACACTATATGCAGTTTATACTGACATGCACATTACTTCTGAGAAGTTATGGATAAGGTACCATTGTGGGGAAACGGGGGGCGGGGAGTATTAATACTAGAGGCACTATGCACGGTGCCATGAGCTGAGCAGTGTGATCAATGAATTCACGCAGATGCTCCTCCACCCTTCTTCTCAAAAATGAAAAGGTAATTTCAGGTAAAGAAATGAACAAGGGGGCCAATATAAATACTATCCGATGAATAAGGTGAATTCTAACTCTGACTGATTTATTAGCTTAGACATGTCTTCATCCTTCAATTTCATCACTGTAAAATGAGAACCTATTTTATAAGCTGGTTAATAAATAGCTCATCATTATAAACTGCTTTGTAAATATCTTTGAGCAAATAAATATTTAGTCTTTTCTCCCCCAAATAAAACAAAGGGCTATGAATGAATAATTCTTAACTTTGAGAACCACAAAATAAAACATTAAGGGAAAACTGCTGAATGTATAGAATTGCAATTAGAATCAAAGGGAGCAAAAGAATAAATTTTAATGAAACATTTTTGGATAAAAGTATGAAATATGGATAGCTGAAACAAAGAAAAAAAATGTCAAGTCCACAAAAGTTAAAGTATGCATAACATTACACCTACTTATACCATACCACAATTAACAAAAAGCCAAAGTAAATACAGTGCAAGAGAAAGCAAGTATCTATACATACTTACATAGTACATATATTTGTATATTTTATATTACATATATATATATATGTATGTGAAAACAAAAAAAGATTATCCAGATGACAGAAAGGCAGCAAGCTTCTATCTCAAGTTGTAACTTACTTTTCTCACTTCAGTTGAATATATCCATTTCAATGATCCAACCAACCCCTCACCTTGAATATATGCAAAAATACTTTCATTCGGGCCCCCAGAAACCTGCTCCATATTTCCACTATTAACTGGACCACAAAGGTTCAAATCTCCCAGGTTCAAACCCAAGTACAGTAGACTCTTCTCCCGTGACTCACACTTGTGCAACTAGCTGTGAAATTCTGACTATTCCATCTCTGAAATCTCTAATCATTCCCTATCCTCTTCCATTTCTAATATGTCCTTCCTCAGCTGACTTTTCTTTTCCTAGTCCTTCCAATTCCTCACACTCTACAATCTGTCTTATATTAGAATTGAGGTTTTTATCCTGAAATAAAATTTGAGTCATTTTACATTTTTGTCCAAAATCTTTCAATGGCCCAAATTCTCTCATGTAAAATTCAGATCCACTACAACTTCACTTTAATCTATCTTTCTGGTAGTCATTGCACTGTTTCTTGTCATGCATCCTTATCAATGCATTTCTTCCTTGGTCTAAGCACATGTCTGGTGCTCTACTACAGACTTCACTGTACACCCGAACTCCAGACCAAATTTCAATGCCCAATTCAACAGCTTCTGCCTCCAGTTACTTCCAACTTATGGGAGAAAAACAGCCTCTGATAAAACAAATGACAAAACAAACAATAAGGTAACAGGAACAGAAAGAACCACAGCCTATGGCCTCTGTGAAGAAAGAAAAGTTGATAAAGGAAGTAGCAGACCTTGTTTAATTAATATTTGAGAATGCTCATGTGACAAAAGGAAATATACTTTTAAGTTAAAATGTAAATAACTATGAAAGAAAATATCTAATAGATGAATGTTTTTTTGAAGAGGGAGTTAGAGGTAAGAGAGATAAAAAATATTTAATGAAATAATGGCCAGTTTTTTTTCCAAATTTGATGAAAACTACAAACCCACAGATCTAAGAAGCTTAATGAATCCAAATCAGAGGAAACATAAGATCTATTACTGGAGTTCTCAATAATGTTAAAATGTTAACACTATAATGTTACAAAGTCAGTTTTTCCAGTTAAGATGTCAGTTCTAAATTAATATTTACAATCAATGTAATTCCAAACAAAATCCCAATAGGTTTTGTTTTTCTGATAGAAATTTCCAGGCTGATTAAAAAACTTTTTGGAAATGCAATAAATAGCCAAAACTACCTTGAAAAAGAAGAATGAATTTTAAGGACTTACACTGCATGATTTTAATTCTTACTATAAAGCTATGGTTAATCCCTTGGAGTTCTAGGCAAGATCCCATTTGAAGAAGGGTTCTACTGCTAAATGCATGTTTGAAAACTCTTGCTGCAGTGTCATGGGACCCAGGGGAGGGGAGAGATTGAAGGAGATGAGGCGTATGGAATTGTGCTGCAATCAGGAGGTCCTTAGTGACATCTGAAGCTACAGGATAGTATTGGTAGGGAGAAAAACCAGATTTTGTGGGGTGAAGGAGTGAATAAGGGATGAGTGAGTGAGTGAGTGAGTAGTAGGTGAGTGATGAGTAAGTGAGTGAGTGGAAGGAAAATGCAGACAGCAAGTACAGATGACAAGTAAGAGGAGAAAGGAGGGATGCAGAGAATTATCCTGGTTGGGCAGCTCCTCCTCGTGCCCATACTCACTATCATTAATATGAGGGATGGCTTCTGAAATTAAAGGTGTTTTGATTAAAGCTATGGTCTTCAAGTGAGTTACTTGATTTGACAAGACCAAGACTCCACCAGTCTCTCACCCCATCCATTCTTCCAGTGACTACAAAATAGCTCTCAGATAACCCTAATGTTTGGCTGGTTAAATCACCATCATTTATTTTAGAAATATTTATATTTTTAAGTTCACTTTGGCTTTTCCATACCTGCATTACTGTTTAAAAAGAAAGCCCTACTGCTTAATTTAATCCCTACATTAAAATTTTAAAAAACCTTTTCAATTACAGTTAACATACAATATTAGTTTCAGATGTGCAACATTTAAAACCTACTTTTTGTTTAAGAAGACTCTCCTAGAATATTGTGCAATACAGAAATGTGAAGAATTTTTGTATATTTTTAATTTGTTCAATATTGAGGACAAATGTGCAGTTTATCTCAAATCACTGGATAAAAAACAAATAATCCGTACTATTAAATGCAATGATCAATTACTTAAGAAGGAAAAATCAACTGCTTAATTCCACTATACTTCAGGTTTCAAAGACCATAAATATGATAAATGTCTTAATTCCCACATCAAATTCACTGAAAATGAATGGCAGGTAACGCCAAGAACATAATCCTATTAAGTGTAGTTTGGTTTACTTAACTGCTGGTTTTCTACCTTGTCATTTTCTTGCCTATTCACATTGACCCACAGTTTTATGAAATAGGTTAAACCAGTGATAATTCATTCAATCCAAGTTTTAACACAACTGGCTGCAAATCAAATATTTTGCTGTTCTAAAATTACACAAATACCATCCTATCTTTAAACAACCAGCTTTCTGAGCAAGATAACTTTAAAAAGGATATTAAAGGCAGCTAATTAGTGGTAAATATATCAGTAGAGAGTGATAAATATGTCAATATGACAAAATCAATAATACATAAATATGAATACAATGACCCTGTTCAAGTACTGGGCATTATTATCACTGATTTAATCCCAAACTGCTCAAATATCAAATATTAGTAATATTATCATAAAAATAGGTGGATGCCAACAAATGCAAAAATAACAATAGTAAATATTCTAAACATTTATTCCTTTGAGTTAGACTAACATATACTTGTATAAAATTATGTGTATAGGTATAAATATTACACTATATATTAGGATATTTTTAAAAAATAGCTAATTGGAAAAACAAGGGTGCCTACTCTCTACCATAAATTAATTGTACCTGGCAGCTAGGTAAATCTTCCCCAAAAAGGTGGTGCTGAAGAAGGCTGGTGATTCTGAGGAAAGGTAAGCAGAAGTCCTGCAAGTATTTTTCCATGGATTCAGGAGACCAAGCAATAGGGTTAACCTAAAGTTGGAAAAAAAACCAAAAAAAACCTGAACAATTCATTATGTAACAGATAGGTATAGTTTAAAAAATTATATTCATAATTTAGACAACAAAATCTAAAATTTTAACTAAATAACCACTACATCTGGTCTTAGAGAGAGCATACCATTGCACCCTCCTGAGTTCCTTCTTCATGGTATAACTTTCCTTTAGATAGTTCACTTATCACAAGGCTCAATAACACTTCATAAGATTTTTCTGCATCACACGTATTCTGGAAAAAATTAAAATATTCCATCAGTCATTAAAAAGTAAAAAAAAACCTTTACATTGGAAAGAATACTTTTTAATGAGTACAGTGTAATTGTGATTACATTATTTTTAAAGCATGTAAGCTTCATTTCTTCAAAAACCTGTATACAACAGTATACCTCTGGATTCACAATGAAATTGGGTAGGTGACTAAATACTTCTCTAAAAGACACCATATAAGTTATATAATGTATGTATAAATAAACATATGTAAATGATAAATGTTGACCCAGTAATTCCCATTGCTGGAAATTCTTCCTAAGAAAACATTCTGAAAGAAAAAAACAACTATATACCCAAGACATTCAGTGAAGCACTATGATAGTAAAAAATCAGAAATGATCAACAAAACTGAGGCAGTTACCCAAATTATGACATATCAATTCAAAAGAATATTTTATAGGCAGTGAATTGACAAATTAAGGTGTGTAAAAAGTGTTTATAACGTGATGTGAAAAATGCCAGAAGTATGTATGTACACCATTATAGTAGTATAAATAATATATGCATAAAATTGAAGAAACTATGGATTGCGAAATTTTTTAACAACTTCCCTCAAATTCCCTGAATAGGATTTGTACAAATTATTTAATGTAAAAATAAAATAGGACAATATATTTATTACAGAATGTACACACATTACATTAAATAACAGTCTAAAAATTATTAAATTTAATCTACTTTTTATAATAAAGGAAAAATAATGGCTATTTATAAATTCAAATTTCTTTCAATGAGATTTTTATACATAAGGAAATGCACCTCTTTTTATATTCACTGAGATAGTAAAGGTTGTTGCAAATTACAGTAAAGTGTAAATTGGGATGAAGTGATAACTTTGCTATGATATCATATATTCTACTCATTAACTATACTTTTTAAATAATAAAATATAAAAATTGAGTAAACGCTATGGAACATAACTTTATCCTGAATTTTTAAGGCACTGATAGTCTGGACAACCAAGTTTGTTATCTGATGACATTCAGTCTTTCTGTAGTTCCTCACTGTTTCACACATGCTATTGTGCTCTCCTCAACTAGGCAGTAAATTCCAAAAAGTAAGGAACAATTGTTTTGTATTATGCATGTATCTCTTTGCATAACAAAAATCTGAGCAATAAATTATCTACTGGCTAACTAATGAAATTAATTTCAGTAATGCTGGAGTTTTCAATCTTAGAACTTCCCTGAGTGTGCCTCTTTTGATAATCAATTGTTTGCATTATATTTAAATCACTCCTCTTTCCATTCTGCCATATTCACTCAGCCATGTAGTATTATCATCTCTGTTTTTTTAACTATAAAAACATCTGCAATATTGTATATCAACTATACTTTAACAGAAAATCAAGTCCTTTTACTCAACTCCAGTCAAATTAAAAAAAATTAGATAAGTCAATAATTTCATATTTAAGAAAGTCTTAGTAAAATACATTTTATAAAGACAATATTTGATTAAGCCAAAGAGGAGGCTTCATAAGGCTTAAGAAGAGGGTTTTGAGACCATGAATGAAAGCCCTAGAATCAATCAGAAGAATCCTATGGGAGAGGTGGCAAAGGTATGTGGGTTAAATAAAGAAAAGGATCAAGGGTTGAGAGATGCAACAAATACTGTGCTGGGTAGATGCTTTGTCTAAATTGTAGTGCTTAAACTTTTGGGGGTGACAGGCCCTTTGAGTATATAATGGATACTATGGTCCTACTTCCAGCAAAACTAAACCAAACAAAGGACCCCAGATTAAGAAATCCTGGTATAAACTCTCTTTTAACAGATATCCCAAAGAACCAAAAGAACACAATTTATATATACTAAATGTAATGATAATTTCTTTAACACAACTAAACCTCATTATCAAATCAACTCTAATATCCCTTTCAAAAATACATAGTGCTTATATTTTTATTGCCCTAGGTCAGATTAGAACTGGCAAAAATCTGTTTTCACTGGAATTATCATCTGAGGATAAGGAATTATAGGCATGGAATGAATGAGACTCAATGAAGAAAGAAAAGGAGGAAGAAAAGGAATGAGGGAAGAAAAGAAGTAAAGGAAGAAGGAAATGAGAAAAAAAGGAATGAATGATGCAGAAATCGAAGTAGTTATAGAAGTCACAGTGATATTATTTTATTACTCATAAATATCGTTGTTGCTATTACTTACAATATGCTATATATCTAAATGTTTAAATCTACTGCAGAAAAAGCTAATAACATGTGGCAAACTAGCCTACAGAACATCATAATTTTTGTTTTCATTCACTAAAGCAATCTTATGTGGCTATAAACTTCTAATTTAAGCTCTGATAAGAATCTGACTCATATTGTTTTAAGTATTTTTAAAAATAGCTAATAATTATCAAATTGAGAAAGAAAGTTGAAAGAAAATTACCTAAATTAGTTTATGTTCCTGCCATCATAGATTTACAATTGTCTAATTTTCTGTAATTATGGTCTCATTTTAGCAGTCAGATGAATAGATTTAGACCCAAATCACATCAGAAAATGTTTTAAATGTATAATTTTTCATGATTAGACAGTTTACTAAGAAAACATAGCTAAACAATGACAGCAAAGAAACATAATACATTTGATTTAAATACTAACACTCCAAATAACAGATTAGAGTGCATTCAGAAAATTGAAAGAATATTTAGAGAAAAAGAAAGATAATTTCCAAAGGCAAAATTATCTAAGAATCAAATAAGAACAAAGAGGAAAAAAATCATTGAAGGAAAAGACAGAAATCCATTTTGAGAACTTAGAATAATAAAATTTTAGAAGTCATATATTCCAAATTCTCATTTACTTTGAGAGAGCTGAGGTTCAGAGAGCTTTTATGTCTTGACCAAAAAAATAATATCTCTGCTGAGTGGTAGGAGCTTGGCCTAGTATTCAGGATCAGTGGCCAACACCCATGTCTTTAATTAAGACATAAGGAACATTGTGATGATACTATAATAAATTTTGTACATATAATCATGATTTGAGAGTAAATTAGTGATAAAAATGAAGGTTATATTGAATACATTTCATGTATTTATAATTGATTTTCTCTCATTTGATACAAGTAGATATGATAACAGAAACTTTTCAATGCTGTACAAAACTTCTGTAAGAGTTTTATAAGCCAATCAAAAGGTTCACTTTATATTACACCTATTATTTTTTCCTACCAATTTCCCCAAATAAAAACTGAAGTACTGCTTTTATTTTAACCATCTCTAAGCTAAACAAATCAGTCAGTTCTCTGGTTCTATACCACTCCATTTCTTCTCAAGCCACTGAAAATACTTAACGTTTAACTAAACTTGCATAATTTTTCTGAATTGTTCACATAATTTTAACTTAAAGAGAACTCCTTTAAATTTGCTAAGAATTTATATTTATTCCAATATGAGAAAAAAAGTAGTATTTAAAGGGGCATAATTAAAAAAAGGTTAGGATTTTTAAATTTAGAAGTGATGATTGAAAAGCCATCTTTGGATTGTGACTGGGGAAACAGACAAGGAGAAGCCAACAGGTAATTAAAATAGGTAAGTCTGCAGACATTTTATTACGTCCTCACTGTGTCAGCACAATTTTATAACTTCTCTAAGTTTAAGGCTTGCAGCAAAAGCAAAATAAAACTTCCCAAATATAAAGAGATAAAGGCCAAGGTTTAGAGATCGATGCAGAATACCTCAATGTACACAGAAAACATCTTAAAACTTTTTTTAGCCTGAAGGTATTCCATTTCCAATTAAAATATTGTTACTAACTCATTTTGCCTTTCAAACACCTAATCTCATTCATTCATATCTCCAACTTAAATGATCAGATGAGACACTCACCTTTTTGAGAGCACCTGTGTGTTTCCAGGATGACCTGTCTTCCTCGTTGCATTTAACCGAAAGTGCGGCAAGAGCTTGTGTGTAGAGTAGCGTAAAAAGCACCTTCACTATGCAGGTGAAGTGGTCTATAAAAGAGAAAGAGATCATTATTTCTTTGGAATCTAGACATTTTGTACTCAAGATAATTTCACAAATATATGCCTTTCCTTGCATGTGTAATTGGCTTTTATTCAACACTTTAGTTAATAACATGAAATTATAATGTGATGATATATTTTCTACTCAACAGATCTGAAATTATGAAAGTTCCTTTTAGAAGATCAGAGTGCTAATGCCGCACTACCTTGGAATAGCTGTGTAACCTTGGCAAATACCCTTACTGGACATCAGGTGCTTAATAACAATGGGAGTTTGAGTACTTAAAACCAATACTTCATCTACTTCTAATATGATATAGATATATAATATAATATAATATAATATAATATAATATAATATAATATGTAATATAATACAATATAAAACTTCTAAAGTTAAAAAATAGAAAGCCCAATATTTTAGGTACTCTGAGTTTTAAAACTCAATGAAAACTATAACAATGCAAAAGCAATAGGAACAATAATGTAAAATGCTGGTGACATCTGGCTCATATTAAGTACTTAATAAGTGGTAGCTTAATAATCATTATTAACATTTATATAGACCTAATAACTTAGAAAATTTCCACAAATGTCTCATTCAATCTCAAAACAGTGTCAGTTGGACAAGTGTGCTTCAAAAGGATGGGCCTGTGCTAACAAAGCTACTAAGGACCCAGGTCTACACTTAAATCCATACAGACCATTCAGAGTCAGGGTTCTTCTATTATATTATGCTGCCCTCTAGTAAATGGGTATTACCATTTAATCAGTTGCTAAATTCAGAAACTTGCAGACATTCTTGACACTTTCCTGTCTCTTTCTCCCCATGTTAAAACAAATCACCAAATCCTATCTATTCTATTTTTAAAATATCTCACAGTGAGTTCCAAGACTCTGGACCAGGCTTCCACCCTTTCTTTCCCAGACCTATAATCTCAGACTAAGCAGCTGTGTTGGGGTCCCCAAGACCACTCCCAGGTTTGATGATTCACTCGGAGGAAAATTAATTGGGAGCTTAAAGAATGACATACCTTACAATAGCAGGAGATAAACAGACAATGTCCATTATGTAGAAATTGGTTTTATGCAAAAGAGCAAAATAATGCATCGGGTTTTTCAGTTGCTAATCAAACAAAATCTCAAGATGGCTTTTTTGGACCATTTTCTTCAGATCCATGACACTCTACCTCACAATGCAGTGTAGTTTTCACCTCCTTTGCCCCCCTAAGAGGTAACTTGGCATAACTCTGTGTGAATGATGTGACCAAATGCCAAATGAAGAAACCAGGCATTGTTTCTGTCACAGAGAAATATGTTTGAGAAACAATGTGATGCAATTATTAACCAGAGCTAGTACGACTCAAAGATGTACTGATGGGCAAAGAGGTCTCCTCAGCATTGTCAGAAATGCAGCCTAATAGCCAGGGTCATTATGCAGGGTGTCAGCATTAATACATATCCTTACAATAAAAACACAGATACAATAAAGACCACCAACTGTTAACCATTACATTAATAGGTGGGTAGAAAAGGAAAATTTAGGGCCCGCCGAGTGGCGCGATGGTTAAGAACTCGCTTGGGATGCCAGAGGGCCCCGGTTCGGATCCCACATATGAGGGCCAGTGACACTGCCCTCCACAGCTAAGATGCTGAACAACAGCTCAACCTGGAGCTGGGCTGCCATGAGTCGCCGGCGACGGCGTGGGCTGCAGTCCCTGTGGCAGTGGGTTGCCATGGGCTACCGTGTGTGGCCAGCAGCCAGCGTGAGCGGCCAGCAGCCGCTGTGAGCGGCCGTCCAGAAGCCGGCGACTGATCTGCCTCGCCAGAGAAGAGCGCAATGATGGTGCCAACTTGGGCCAGTGAAGCAACGTCCTCCACAACTAGACTGAAGAACAAAACGACAGCAACTTGTCTGTTCCCCTTTCCCCAATTCCCCAGCACTGTTCCCATCCCCCCAATTTCCCAATAAAAATCTTTAAAAAAAAAAAAAAGAAAGAAAAGAAAAGGAAAATTTATATTAGCAACTCTACCTCCCTATCTATAACTTCCCAACTTTTCAAAGATAGCTGTCTGCGGGAAATTAAATTAATATAATTGAGTTCTGAACTTCCTAGCAATTAAACAAAGCTCTCTATCTAGTTAAATACAAAGCTCAAAGTTCTCTATCCAGTTCTCAATGTGTAACAGACTAAAAAATTTTAATAAATGGCAATATTTTTTCTGGCTTTAAATTCTAAGAGGAATTCATTACTATAATAACACCGAGCAACATGTTATACAATGTGTTGGAAGCTGTTTTATAAAAACAATACAGATAACCCAATCTTGAATTATTATGAAGTTTTAAGAAATAATATAAATCACAGGTTTTTTAAAGTAATTCTAACTAAAGTTAATCACTGCTAAATACTTAGCTCTCTGGTTCCCCAAAGGCAAATTTCATGTTTTATTCATCTTTGCATAATACCTCCAGCATCTGGCAAAGCAACTAGCAACCTGGCACATAGTAGGTACTCATTAAATATTTCTTGAACTGAATCTGGCAATGACTTTTACAATTAAGTACCAAATAAACATTTGTTTATTAAATTTGTCCACCAAACACTTTTAAAATATTTTTTAAGGTATAGTCACTAACAGTATTATAAATTTTTACATAAGATGTTTTCCTGAATCAATTCTATTCATTTAACCATTATTAAATTCAGTAGATCAATTTTCTTGACTCATATTTTAGTAAACAATTTTAAAGTATGTTTCTACTAGGTTAAATTTACTAGGTTCAGTTAATTCAATGTATTACATGCCCTTTCAGCATTAACTTCACCCTCTGTTGTAAACTAGTGTCAATAATTATCTGATGAGGAGGAAGATGCACCAGCTACAGCTCTCAGATACTGAAACAATAAGTCCTTTTCATATTAACTGAAATATTTGTCTTTTAAGATAGATATTGATTATAGAAATAAAACTACTTGTATATATCAATTTCCTTCACTTTTACCTCTTCAGGTTTATGTAGTAATTCTGCTTGTAAATCAAATGTATAGTTAAATAAAATATTTAACTATTTTTCAGTCATTATAAAACAAAGAAATTTTTTTATATTTCAAAATGTAATACTACTAATATAATGAGAAGAGCACAGTCAGGGTAAACCAGCATAACTCTAAAACAACTGTTGCCCTAACCTAACCAAACTAACACAAAAAAACCCCTGAAGAATTTATAACTAATTTTGCAAAGAGATGAACTTCAATAGGCTATTTGACAGATTCATATTTTAAAGTCTGCAAAATAAATGATGAAATTCATACACATAGCCAAACCCCCCAAAACTTACATTCAACAATATCTGAAGTTTGGCAGTTCCTCAAGAAGTTAAACACAGATTTACCATGACCCCACAATTCCACTTCTAGCTGTGTACCCAAAAGAATTGAAAACAGGTGTTCAAACCAGAACCTGTACATAAATGTTCACAGCAGCACTACTCTTAGCCAAAATGTGGAAACAATCCAAATGTCCATCAACTGAAGAACAGATAAACAGAATGTGGTATATCCATACAATGGAATATTACCCAGCCATAAAGAATGAATTACGACATATACCATAACATGGATGAACTTGAAAATGTTATGCTAAGCAAAAGGAGCCAGACATGAAAGGCCACATACTGTATAATTTTATTAATATGAATTATTCAGTACAGGCAAATCCATAGAGACAGAAAGTAGATTAGTGGTTACCAAGGGTTACAGGAAGAAGGAAATGGGCAGTGACTGTTTATGGGTACAAAGCTTTTTTTCAGGCTGATGAAAATGTTCTGGATCTAGATAATGGTGATGGTTGTACAACATGGTAAATGTACTGTGCATTTTCAAATTGTTAAGATGGTGAATTTTATGTTGTGCAAATTTTATAATTAAAAACATTAATCCAAAATTTGCAGTGCTAGTATAAATAAAATATTATGCTTATTTATTAATGACATTACTTAATTCTTTACAGAGTATCATAATTTGAACGAAATATCAATTTACCTATATTTAAAACAATCACTTCATATCCTGAGGTTAGAAGTTTTACCAAAAGATCACACACAGAGGCGATCTTCCCCAGTGACAAGGCCTTTATGCAACCACAGATGTTCTTTCCAGGGTAACTTATAATAGCACACGAAAACAAAACAAAGCAGAAACACTGTTCCCACCAAAGGAGAAGAGTTAATTATTTGAAAGACTATTTTAAATGTCTTCAAATGAAAACTATAGACTGTGGAGCAATAATTAAAATGTATTTTTGGATTTTCAGTTTAATTTTTTAAAAACAAAGGTTTTCAGAGTGATTTCCCCATGTCTTCATCTCATTATGAACTAAAAGCTAAAAAGAATAGACCCATAAGGGAAAAGAAATTATTTCATTGTCATCCAGATATAGATACAGATATAGATATAGATATGTAGATATATATACCTATTTAGATATATAGAAAAATATATATCTATATGTATCTATACCTATCTATCTATCTATCTATCTATCTATCTATCTATCTTTCTATGTGATTGCTACACATGAATAGTAGAAAAAACAGTGCTACTTACCTCTAAATATTTCCATCAGACTAAATATTGTATTTGTCCCCACGGTTCATAGAAAATTCATTATCTATGCTACATAATCTAAGATGTGCCTTACCTTTGCGTAGAGGTTGTGGCATCATTAAGATCTGGATGAGCAGAAGGGATGTGACATCATGATAAAGAATTGGAACCTCAGGCTGTTCTTCACTTCCCAGCCTGAAAGAAAAACGCATAATCACTTTAGACAGTATTACACATCTTTTCTTTCTAACTCATTTTATATTTCACATATATGTCTATGGAACAGAAATCAAATTTTCATAAGCAACTGAGAAATCTCAAAAGAAAAAGTCAGGGGCCATATTTTTTACCTAAATATATAATCTTTTAGACTCATATATTTCATTCACTTTTCCTTATATAAAAAAATTATATAGAAATTGTATTAGGTCTTACTAAACAACTGGCATGCATTAACTTGATTATGAGTCTTTGATCTCTTACATTACAGAAATCAAATGAAGCATTAAATGAAACTTAAGGGAATTAGTTTTACTACAAATGAGGTGACACTTGCTTTCATGAAATTAGCACTAAAGAGTAAATGGTCACATTATAAAAAAAGAACAGATACAACTCATAAACAAGTTACACAGAAAAGGCATGGTTAATAGCTCTTGTTAAAAAGTTGTTTCAGGAGGCCGGCCAAGTGGCTCAGTTGGTTAAGAGTTGGCTTAAGAGTGCGAGCTCTGAGCAACAGGGCCGTCAGTTTGATTCCCACATGGGCCAGTGACGCTGTGCTCAAGCTGAGCTGTTGCTGTTGCTGAGCTGCCAACAGGTGGCAGGATGGCTCAGCTGGTGAGAGCACGTGTTCCTAACAACAAGATTGCCTGTTCAATGGTGGGCTACGCCCACCTGCAACTAAGAATGAACTTGGCACCTTGAGCTGAACTGCCACCCGGATGGCTCAGTGGATAGAGCGTGTGCTCTTAACAACAAGGCTGCTGGTTCAACCCCCCGCATGGGATGATGGCTACGCCCACCCACAACTAAGACTGAACACAGCACCTTGAGCTTAGAGGCCATGAGCTGCCAATGGGAAGCCAGATGGCGACGGGCGCCCTCCACAATGAAGATTGAAGAACAACAACTTTTCTGTTCTCCTTCCCCAATTCCCTAACACTGTTCCTGCCCCCCAATTCCCCAATAAAATTTTTAAAAAAAAAAAAAAAGAATTTCAATCTTATTTTTATACTTAACCATTTTTTAAAAACAGTTTTAACTGGCTTTAATATTTCACTAATACTTACTGTGAATTCATCTCTTCTACTAACTGCGTAAGCCTGCTCCAGGGATTATATTCAGAATCAATGCTGTAAAGCCGCATGTGCAAGGCTAATACAAGGAACAGCTGATCTAAATAAATTGAAGAAAAGGTAATTAGAAAGTTTACAAAGTTCTTCCAGAACAAAACTCCGACAAAATTTCCAGCTTCGTAAGGAAATGTTTCCTATCCTTATAATCCACCAAGTTTAAGTATCAACTACCTCATGCTCTCTTTTAAGGTAAACTCTGAAATACATCTAAATAATTTCTGCTGGCATGTGGACTGTCCCTCATGCTTAATCGTAATACAGGAATGGTTTGTTTTTCTCATCTGTCACAGACCTACTTTTTCTGGGCTTTATGCCAAGGAATTGTAATCTCTTCCTAACCAAAATTTACTATTGTCTTCAATATTCTACTCTAATATGGACAAGAACATCCATATAAATCACTGCCACGTAAAGCTTTCTTTGCCTAATATTTTGCCCTAAATCTTTAGATTGAATTGTGTCTTCATCATCTTTTGATTCAATATGAAGGAAAAAATAACTGAAATAGAGTATTATTTAGGAGGACTAATCCAGCTATTTTCATTTCTTCTACCTAAATCATAATAATAATCTACCTGTCTTAGCTTTCAACAAAATTCTGCTCATGACATTTATAAGAAAACTATTTATTTAAAATTTTTTAATTATCCAGGAAAAAAATCCTAAATTTTGCTTTTGTATCACATGTCCTTTTTTTGGTATAAATAACAAGGACTGCATTAAACTATTCTGCCACGAATACTCAAAAATATTTGTGAATCAAAAGTAATTTTCTAGAAAGTTAGGTAATACTTCTTGACATATGATCAAAATTAATGCTTAAAACCAGAAAAAGTTAGCCAATGACAAATATTGTTGTCATTTATTCTCTAAATTAAAGTAATCAAAACTAAAAATTTTGTTTCTCTGTGCAACTAACTTAGAAATCAACTATATTTTAGATTCTTACATGGGGTGGGGGAGGAAGAAGGGGAGGAGGAGGCGGGGAGGAGGAGGCGGGGAGGCGGACTGGTGGTGGTGGTGGTGGTGGCAGCTTTGGTAAACTATTGTAAGGCATTTGAGAGCTATAAGATGAACAAAATAAATGTTCCACTCTGTTTGGCAGGGCAGAGGAAATGGAGGGTGGACAGCGGGGCTAAAACCTAATACTGTACATACATTGAAATTTCAATCTGATCTCTCTATAACACACAGAAAAACCTAAATGCCTTACCCTCCTTCACCGCCTGTCTATAAGCCAATATACAGTCTAAATCCTTTCTTACAATATCTTCATCCTATTAATGGCTAACACTAGGTGAATGTTCATTATGTGCCAAGTATTACTTAATAATCATTTTATATAGGTTTTCTTGATTAATTTTTACAAAAATTATACCAGGTAGGTAATACTGTTATCCCAATTTTGAGACAAGTAAGTTTCCCAAATTTCCAGTTTTTCCAGTAACCTGGTTCCATTGATAACACTAAGAGCAAGGGACATTTTTAGCAGAGAAATAACATGATGAAAGATACACGGGTCATTTTCATTTCAATTCAATTATACATAAAAGATTGTTTTTACCAAGCATATAATTTATAATTTTAAAAAGTGTTTAAAAGTAAAAGTGTTAATAAACTAAATTCCTCTAGCAAGTTGCAAAGTAAGGACTTTTGCATTATTTTTACATAGGTGTTAACTGAATCTAAGAGCTCTTTTTTAATATATCCTTTCAAGATGAAAGTTAATTATCTTAAAGTTTATCTGATTTAATTTAAAAAAAAGTTTCAGTTTTACTAACCTGTTTTGCATTAAAACCATGACTAGCATAGACATAATGTTGTAATCTGCCTATTCTCCTACCCTGTACAATAGTTAAAGAAATACAAATGTTAGAAGGAAACTTATTCATCTTCTTATATTCCCTCATTCTACAGATGAGGAAATAGGCCCAGAGGAAGGATTTACCTTGTCAAGTCACCATTTTATTGGAAAAACTATTAATAGAATTCAAGATTACTGCTTCCTAGTTATTTCTACCACTCCACTTCTCCTTGGGGTTTTTAATGATTTTTTTAAAAGTACAAAATTCCTTTTTTAATACACACACACACACACACATACATACACACACACACACACCTTTCCATTCCTATGAAAAATTTATATTGCAACCCTGAGGTATCTTCTAAAACTATTAATTCAATATATATCAAGAGTCTTTGGCACTGGCTTTAACTAGAACTAAAGAATAATAACCTATCTAATGAGGTACATCTACCTTTCAAAAACTATACTGAAAATTGCAGATAACTTCAGTAGGAAACAGAGAATTGGCCAACTAACAATCAATACTTTGAATTATGTTTATACAATTCACTGTGTGTTTTCAAAATTTAATCTGAGACCTATAAGTAAAAATGAACTCTACCATTCATTTTGCAGTTAAAAAATGTTTCTTATAGTAAACAAATATTGACAATAATAGACATAGGATAAGGAAAACCTACAATCATAAAATAAAAAAGTTAAAAACTAAAAATAATGGGAAAATGTTATTAAACACCAACTCTGTGTATGATATTTTAAAAGTTGAAAAATAGGTGTATCAGGAAAACATATTATTAAAAAGAACAGATAACTCCTTTTCTGGAATGATACATTTTAAAGTTCTAAAGTTAGACCTACATTTATCAAAGGGTTTGGAAATGAGAAACATTAAATTAACTTACAGGTGTGCTGTGATTTCAACATTTATATAAGAGGCACACCACTGTCTAGTAGGAGCCAGGAAGTCCCGGATTTGAATCTCTTCTCTCTCCTCTCCTGAACTTGCAGTACCACTCTGCCCTGGTTCTCCTCCAGTTCCTTCTCAGTTACTTGTACATCTCTTCTTCCTCTACTGAACCCTAACAGGTGTTATTCTCCATAAGAAAGGAAAAGGGATCCCTTCTTAGTCCTCTTTCCCTCTCATGATGCACACACTTCTTCACCTAAGATCAACTCCCACCTCTACCTATAAATTTACCATTCACAAATTTCTCTAGCACTTCAGATGTCCGACAGGCACTACAAAATCAATATATCCAAAATTAAACTGATTATATAGCCCAGTCCAGCTCCAATGTTCATTTCCTCTTATAATTCCTATTTGAGTGAACAACACAACTGTCCATGCAAACATACAAGGGAAAACTTGGGAGTCATCTCCAACATCCTTGTCCTTCGTAGCCAATTACCAACCCTACTGGTTCTGCCTCCTAACCTCCATCCTCTTCTGCTCCACTCCACTGCTACATTTCTCAACTGGATTACTCAATAGAGTGCTCATTCAGCTTTATGTCTGTTGTTTCACCCCCTTCCAATCCCTGTAAACAATAAAGCCATTCACATTATCGCATAATTGTGAACCACTAAAGGAATAAGCACAGAAAGCCCTTCAGGAGCCAACCCCTGTCTTCTTCAGGCTTATTTACTAACCTTCTTTCCTACCTTTCCCTACCCAAGTGTTCCCCAGTGTGTCATGTTGTCTCACTCTGTCTTTGCAAACAGTTCTCTCAGCCTAGAATAGTACCTTCTCGTTTTCAAGGCAAACTTGATTCATCTTTCAAGAGCCAGCTCAAGGACTCCTCTGTAAAATTTTTTCCAATACCATACCTGAGACAGATGCAAGCATCCCTTGCTTTATGCGTTCTTATACCTTGAGTTAACTCTATTTTATCACTTTTTATACTGCCCTGTAATTATTTTTCACTTGTGTTCCTTTCCTATTAGATGGTGAGAGTTCCTTGAAGAAGATAATTGTCTTTTCCTGTTTCTACTTCCTAGGTTAGTACAGTGCTTGACACATGACAGGATTTTTTTTAAAGTATGCTGAATACTGTGTGACTAAATCAACAATCCAGTAAAAAAAATCATACAATATAAGCATATAATTCATGGTGAATTTATACTCTTCCTTTTCTGTCATAATAACACACTGGCTCAGTAACCAAGAAGTAGGCCAATTAATCAGCCCTAATTTCACTGTCCCTAAAGAGACTGACCTCTGAACTCTAACTACTAAAGCAAAGCTTGACCTACTTGCTCCCATCTTCTTCTTCACCGTGCTGGTTGCTGTGACACTCACCTGGGATGAAGAATTCTATTTATTAAATACCTAATTAAATTCTCTACAACTGTGACAAATCTAAGGTATTATAATGTGCTTAAGCACAACACAGACCCATCACTCCTAAAACAGAAAGCCCCACTCAATGACTGGTTTGTCCTTAAAAAAACCTAAGACTTAATTAAAAGAACTCTCAGCTGGAACAAAAAGGTAAGATTCAACAATCGCTTCTATCTTTGTCAATTTTTAAAGTAAGACTATTTTATACACACACAAAAATCTATGAAGTAAAAACGTAACTCCAACTTTATTGTAAAATTAATAGGTTTACATGTATAACTATGAATACCATGCATACATATGAAACATCATTATGACAATTTTTATGACTTAAGGAAACTGAACCCAAAATTGTTACATGTTAAAATCTTTTTAAAATGCTTTTGAAAGAGATGTTCA